TGAAGGCCGACGGCGCCGCGCTCGATTGCTTCGAGGTGACGCTCAAGTGCGAGGACGGGGAGGACGAGGCGGAGGCCACGGTGGTGGCGGTCATCCCGCGGCCTGAGCCCATGCTCCGAGGTAGGAGAGGGGGAACCCCACTTCCGCGTCGGGCCGGGACCCGGCCTTCCTCTTGCTCCGCCCCCACTGGGTTTTGGAATCTCGGGCCTCCCTGGATCCTCCCTGCCCCCACGCCCGCCAGCCCGGAGCCTGTGTTCCTCATCCCGGGTCTTCCGGTGCCCTGCGCCCCCACCCCGTTTCCCAGCCCCGGAGCCAGCATCCTGGGTGCCCGCTGCAGACAGGGGGCCCGGCAGTGTTGGGGGCCGAGGGACCCCGAGGCCCACAGGTCCGAGACTGGGTGCGGCAGGCAGGTGTGCCCAGCGATCTGAGGATGGTTTGTGAGGGCGCCTGGGGCGTCCCATGCCTGGGCGTTCAGCTGGGTCAAGCCACAGGTGTCAGATTCTACCGCCTTGGGGCGAAGGGAACTGTGCATCTCCAGTACCTGATGCGGTGCTTCCCGGCGGGTACCTCGGCCACCCACGGAGGATGGCCTTGGGAGAGACTCCAGGAATAGTCTGGAAACCCTCGTTTTCCCCTCCCCCCACGTCCGTCACCGCTTCTTTGGACCCCAGGCTATTGAGAACCAGAAGCAAACAAAGGGCATCCTTTGGGGAAGACTTAATCGCTATAAAAATGCAAATAGCTTGATATTGTCCACATACCTTTTCCCTTAGGGGGTATAGTACCTAAATGGCGATGGGAGCCTGGCCTTGGAACAGTGGGAGGGCAGAGAGGGATGGGACCTTGTTCATCCATATAGTCCTTTAACTCAGCCTGGCACTGTGGCCTGCCGACCCTGGGCTGCCTTTCCATTCTTTTTGGAATCTGGGATTATAAGATATGGGGTGGCACTGTAGGCGAAGCATTGGGCTTCTAACCACAAGGTCAGTGGTTCCAACCTACCAGCCACTCTTGGGGAGAAAGATGAGGCTGGCTGCCCGCCCCCAGAAAGATTGCCAGTCCCAGAAACGACATGGAATGGCTCTGAGTCAAAACTGAGTGGGTGGCAGGGGGTCTGATATTTCTGATATTGATTTCCATCTACATCCCAACAGCCCCTGGTTGGCCCAGAGGGGAAGCGCTTGACTCCTAGCCTAAAGGTTTGAACCCACCCAGGGATGGGATGTCACTGCCGAAAGGTTTGACGATGGGACCTGGTACAAGGTCACAGCTTTGAAAACCCAGTGGAACAGTTCCACTCCTCCGCATACTCAGGGACACCAGGCGTTGGCATCATTCGGTGGCAACGGGCTCGGTTCTTTTCTTGCTTTAAAAAAAAGATGATCATACCAGGCTGTTTCAGATGGGGATGCATGCTAATGGCAGCCACCCAAATAGACAAAGCCTTTCTCTGAAGTAGAGGTCAGACATGCTTTTCTTCACACACACACACCAGCCTTCCCTCCCTAGGCACCGCACTTCTCTGATTGGTTTGCTAATCTGTTGGAATAGCCAGAGAACTCAACTGGACAATGCTTACGATTGTGGTGGTCTATTAGGGAAGTTCACAGCTTACAATGCAGGATGTGAAACAGCCTTCAGGGCTCTGCTCTCTCTGCGGCCCTTGGCCTTGAAGCCAGCCACCGGAGCCCAGGCCAGTGTTTACAAAGCTACTTTCTCACGACCATCAAACCAATTCCAATCCTGTAAGCCTGGGTAGAACTGCCCCTGTGAGTTTCTGAGACTGTAACTCTTCACCTGAAAAAGAAGCCTAGTCTTTGTCCTGTGGAGCAGCTGGTGGTTTCGGCTGCCGATCTTGGCGATTAGCAGTTCAGTGAATAACCACTGTGCTAGCCTGGGTCCCTGTTCAAAGTTCCTTTTAATTCTGCTGATAGATGTCCAAGGGCACACCACTCTGCCATAAGCCTCAGCACACAGGCTCTCGATAAAGGGTGGGCAAACCGAGTTCCCCTGAGTAAGTACCTGGAGGTAACCTACTCCACTAGGCAGGGATCTTGAAGCTCTGCTCTGTGCCCTTGGTACCACTGCCAGTGCAGCCACTGCTTCTCCATCACTTCTCCCTGGTTCACCATCTTTGGTGCCCCAGCTCTGTCTCCTGGATTGAGGAGATTCCGTGCAGGGATCTCGGGGTCCAGGGGACATGCTTCACTTCTGGCTCTTTCTTGATGGTGGTCAGTTCCCCCATCCTGCTTCTGAGGTGGCTCAATTTAAACCTAGCAGTGTGGCAAAACTGGCCACTTGCCTCATTAAAGTCCCATCCACCCTCAGAGCCAGTCCTTTGGCGGAAGTGGCAAAGCCTGACTCGAGTGATGCAGTGCGCTGCGTGAGCCGTGGCACAGGTGACTGCGGCTTGTCACGGGAAGTGGAGAAAAGCCCGAGGAAGGTGGTACTCTGGAAGCCAGTGGAATGGGCCATCCAGTGAGGGAGTTTGTGAGCTGACCACACCGGGGTGAGCATCGGTGGCCCTGCTGTGAGCTGGGTGGGGTGGGGTGGGGACAAAAACCTGGCTGGAACTGGAAGGCCGGCCTCACAGTCCACGGTCACAGAGTGAGTAGGCGGGACTTAAGTTGGACCTAGGTCTTTGGATGCCAAGCTACTGCGTGCATCCATGTCACATGCACCTCTTCCATGCAGCCTTCCCAAGTCCTCTCAATGGAAAGCGAGCCCTGCTCCCAGATTCTGGGCAAGGGGGCTTAAAAAAATCAGTGGAGAAATGGAATTAAGAGAAGCTGGCATCTTTTCAAGGAAGAGCTCCTGGTGGCATAGTGGTTAATGTGGTTATGCATCGGATCACTCACTCACTACCAGCTGCCATGGTAGGTCAGCCATGGGGGGGCCCATCACCTGGAAGGTGTCTGGAGCCAAGCCATGAAAGAAGGGGAGGACTCTTGCAAGGGTGCCTGCACTGGCCGGCTGTGCGTGACAGCTGGAGGCAAGCAGGAACATCTCCCGCAATTGCTGTTGAGCCAACTGCCCCGTGCGTGCTTTTCTGAGGCTTTTTGCCTTTAAGGGAGTAGAAAGCCTCATTTTTCTCCTGAGGAGTGCTTCCGATTTCAAACTGCTAACCTGTGGTTATCAGCTCAGCACATCACCACTCTGCCACCAGGGCTCCTTCCTTCCAAACGAGATTTGACTAAGGGAAAGAAAAACAAACCCAGCATCTCACTGTGGTCCCAGCTCTGATGGAGAGATGTACGGGGTGTGGGCAGGGGCTGCCAGCACTGCAAAGCCATCAGTGGCTCCCTGGGAGAGAGATGAGATGTTTTACTCTTGAAGAAGCAGTTCAACTCTGTGCTATAGTTGGAACATAGTCCTGGTGGTATAGTGCTTACGCATTGGGCTGCGATCCACGTGGTCAGCAGTTCAAAATGATTAGCAGCTTCCGCAGGAGAAAGACTGGGTTTCTACTTCCCAAAACAGGTACAGTCTCAGAAACCTCCAGGGGGGGCCTGCATTGACTTCCATGTGAGTGAGTGAGTAGTCAGAAGGGCTGAGAGTGCAGAAGCTAATCAAAAGGTTGGCAGTTCAAACCCAGCAACCTGTAAAGATAACTGTCCAGAACCCCCCGTGGGGCAGTTCCTGTCTTGTCTGTCATTTGAGTGGTTATGAGTCTAGGCGGAGTTGGGGCAGCACTGTGGCCCCAGCAAGAGGGAAACACTGCACTGCACAAGGATGGGCCATTCCCCTAACCACACCCACACCCACCCACACCCCCCGCCTGGCTTGAGGGATTGTGTTGCAATTCTCCACTGAGGACACCGCTCCTGATACCACTCCTGTCCTCACCGTCCACAGTGGCCCAGCAGGAGAAGACCCCGCTGCCTAGGCCAGGCTTTCTGGATCCCATCAGAGATGCCCCTGAGGAGCCCGACCAGCAGATGTCCTGGGAGCAAGAGTTCCTGGTGGGGAACAGCCCAGGGGGCAGCGGCCGGGCGCTGTGCATGGTGTGTGGGGCTGAGATCTGCCACCCCAATGCGGAGACAGCACGCGCCCACATCTTGGAACAGCATCCCCACACCCTGGACCTGAGCCGGGCCGAGAAGAGCAACATCCTGGAGGCCTGGAGTGAGGGCGTGGCTGTCTTGCATGAAGTCCACGAGGAGCAGCCTTCTCCAGCCCACTCAGGTAGTTGGGTCTGGGGTGAAGGTCAGGTGCGGCAGTGGGTACTGGAGGACTCCCAGGCTCAGGGGCACCTGTCTCCTTTCAGGTTTAGGCCGGGCTATGGATGGAGACCCGGACCTTCACCCGGACCCTGCCAGGGTGCCAGCTGAGATCGTCGTACTCCTGGACTCTGAGGACAACCCCTCCCTCTCAGCCTTCCCTAAAAGGATCCGGCCCAGGGGACTCCGCCCTCTTGAGATTCCAGGTCTGTCACCTGGGAAGTTGGGTTCCTGTGGCCGGGTGGCAATCAGGATAGAGCCTTGGGTGTGGGGTGGAGAAAGGCTGCAGGGCAGATACCTACAGGAGCCCTGGAGGGGCCAAGTTCCCACCTGGCTCCAGTCTCTGTTTCTGATTGCAGCTGTCCCCGCCACTGAACCAGCAAGTAGGAAATCCCGTGGCCAGAGGTGGAAGGAGCCTCCTGAGGAAGAGCCTGTTAGAAAGAAAAAAGGCAAATTTATGACCAAAAACATAGACCCCAACCCAGGTAAGGGGGACCTGGGCAGAAGCCATCACACCTGGAACCCTCCTGAGGCTGGGTTCTCACCCCAGTGGGGTTGAGGGGCCCAGGCTCCTGCCCTCACACTTCAACCCTACCCTCCTTTCCAGATCCCTCGCTGCTGTTGTCACCGGACCTGCCCGCAGAGACTTTCGAAGCCCCGCCCGAGGTCCGCAGCTTCACTGATGGCAGCTTCCCCCCGGGCTTTGTCCTCCAGCTCTTCTCCCACACGCGGCCCAGCGCCTCCAAGAGCAGGGGCCCGCCCACAGAAGGTGCCGCCACAAGAGACCTCAGCCAGCCGAAGAGCCCCTCTGCAGGTGAGCTCTCCCAAGGTCCCATCCCTGGACTCCTTCCCTCTGAGCCCTCTCCCTAAAAGGGCCCCTGCTCAGGAGACTCCCCATTCCTGGGCCCGACCTCAGCAAGGCTGCTCAGGGTGGGTGTTCAGGTCCCTGGGAGACAGGCAGGGCGACTTCAATGATTTCAAGGAAGCTGGCGAGAAAGGAGCTTTTGTGAGACTTGTTTGGGAGTATCCTTGCATGGTTCATTAGGCTGGGCTGGGCCTTGGCTTGCCGGTTAGCTCCACCCATAGCCTGAGAGGCCCCTAGTTGATCTGTATTAAGAGAGTAGACGAGTGGAGATCAGGAACCAACCCCTCCTGAAGCTTACTGAGAAGGTTCCTAGTGAAAGCAGGAATGGCTTGTGTGTCCTTCCTGCCTTGTTCTACTGAGTAGAAGGAACTCCTATATGCAGTTCATTTTGGTCCTCAGGAGTACAGTTTAACAATTAAACAGTTGCTGAAGTGTCGACTCCATGTGTGTCAGTAGAACTGCACACCACGGAGAACCTGCATATATACTCACATGTGTATGACCCAAGGCAGGACTGGCCATCCGATCCATTTGGGTTGCAAACACAATCACACTCAGCACTTGAAGGCTACTTCTATTTATAAGCCATATACAGGCAGAGGTTTGAGGTGAACTGGGCCGCTCTTCCCTACAGAGTCCTTAATGTCTCAAAGCAAACCAGTATGAGCCCAAAGTTGTAAGATACATGTGAACCCGAATAGTAACTGGAACAGTAGGAATCGCCTGCCTTAGAATATGAGGGCAACCCGTGTGTTCCATAGAAACAGACAGAACCTCTCGAGCAGCTGGGCAGAATCAGTGGGCCTGCCTCTGAAATGGTGGCTGACACCCCACCCCCCTTTGTGTAACCACTCCTACAGTCGCCCTTGTGTTCCCGAAGGGGCTCCCTCTGCCTGCCAAGCCAGACCTTCAACCCATAATCCCCCCCGCCCCCTGGATAGTATTCTGCTTTATTCACATTTTTAAAAATTGGGGTCTGTTCCAATTTAGCTATGGCAGCCATGACCAAACTGGTTCAAACCCTCATTTGCTTTTTTTTTCTAAACAGTTTTTTTGGCTCTTAATCCACATAACACAATTCCATAGTTTCATCATAATAAGAAGAGTTGTACAACCATTATACAATCAACTTTTTTAAATTTTTGGATCAGTTTGGTGTTTTTGTTTTTTAAATATTTACTTTTAAAAATAATGAGTCATGACTTCATCCAGTATAATCACGATTACAATGGTCTCTATCTGAGAGTAAAATTGTTCAAGGCCCCGGCCTGTGGCTAGAGGGGACCTGCCAGCATCTTAATCTGACTAGACACTGCAGATGGGTTTGGGGCTCCCACTGCCCTCCACAGCCTTCTACAAATTGGGTGTGGGCCATTTGGGCTCTTGCTACTTTTCCCTTTGTCCTATTTGAATTTTGTTACTGTCGTCTTTGGATCACACAAGCTTCTCCCATGTGGACTTAGTTGACTCCTTGCTTAAGATGGCTGCTTGTTTGAATACTAGCCTTTAAGATACCAGACACTATTCCAATTGGTAACTGAAAATTCCCCCTCTTGACAGCTTTTCTTGGCTAGGTCTGTCCCCTGGTGCCTGCTGGTCCAGCTGTTAACCAGCAGCTTTGGGTCAGTTCTTGGCCAGTGCCAAGGTTAAGCCAGAGTTATGATAGCTCTCAAGGGCAAGCTGTTTTAATGGACACCTCCCAGACCCCTGCTGACACCCTCTTAGCCTTAGCGTTAAAGCTCTTGGCACAGCTGGGGCAGCTGCCATTGCCAAAGCCCAGCTGTCCCCCAGGCTGCCACCTGGCCTGTGACTACTTCCCCTTTATGGGCAACCTCCTGTCTGGAGGTTCCCAAGCCTGCCCCATGGGTCGGCTGTTCACTCATTGCCACCCGCATCATCTCTGGGGGCCTACTTGTCGGCTGGTCTTGTAGCTCCCTCAGCCTCCGTCACCTCCGCTGTTTGCTCTGCTGTCTTTGGTCTTCAGTGTCCAGAGCTCAGTGTCCCCTGCTCTCGCCTGGGCTTAGGAGGTTCTGAGCATGGAAACCCTGATTTCAGAGACCCTCTCTTCAAGCCCCTGGTGATCCCTCAGTCATCTGAGCCGGACCCCCTAGACCGGACAACTCCTTGTCGGTCTCAATTCATGCCTTTCTTAAACGGACCAGTCCCTCAGGTCAACTGCCAACTAGGCAGTCCTGTTGAGTGAAGTGCAAACCAATTATGCAGACAGCAAACTGGCCAATCATTGAAGCTTCTGGGTTACGAACCAGCTGATCCTCTGGCAGATTGGGGCTCAAACAATCATTTTGGGAGGAGTACAAACCCAGAAAGGCCACATAGAAGAAACTTAATGTTTTCAGCAGGCCTCTCTTTGAAATGCCTTAGGGTGGACTTGAACTCCCAGCCGTTCAATTAGCAGCCAAAAGAGCATTCATTTGCACCATCCATGCACACCCTTCAAAACCTGCCTTATAATAACAAGGGGAGATTATTCCTCTCCTCTTGCAGAGCCCAAAAGTCCCACCACCATGGATCTGATTCCAACTATCTTGTTGCCCACCCTGGGACCGGAAGGTGTCCCCTAGGGCAGAAGCTGAGCCTTGGCCCTTCCTTGAATGCTGCTGACAGCAGCCCAGGGCTTCAGGAAGGAATGAGTGAGAGACCAGGGGGCACCTGTCTTCTGTCCCAGTGCATCTACGGCGAACATTGGGGTTGGGGGCCCACAGAAACAGGGCAGGGCTCTTGCGTGAAGGCAGGGGGGATAGATAAGGAGCCCCTCTGACCCTAGTCACCCACCAGTCTTCAGAGAAGACTTGCTACAAAGCTCTTCCTTTTTTTTTTTTTAACCGTTTTATTGGGGACTTTACAGCTCTTTTATCACAATCCATACACACATCCATTGTGTCAAGCACATTTGTACATTTGTTGCCATCATCATTTTCAAAATATTTGATTTCTACTTGAGCCCTTGCTATCAGCTCATTTTCCCCCTCTCTACCCCCCTCATGAGTCCTTGATAATTTATAAATTGTTATTATTTTGTCATGTCTTACACTGTCTGACATCTCCCTTCACCCACTTTTCTGTTGTCCGTACCCCAAGGAGGGAGTTTTATGTAGATCCTTGTAATCGGTTCCCCCTTTCTACCCCACCCTCCCTCTACCCTCCCAGTATCACCACTCTCACCACTGGTCCTGAAGAGTTCGTCTGCCCTGGATTCCCTGTGTTTCCAGCTCTTATCTGTACCAGTGTACATCCTCTGGTCTAGCCAGATTTGTAAGGTAGAATTAAGATCATGACAGTTGGGCGGGGAAAGCATCCAAGAACTAGAGGAAAGTTGTATGTGTTATCGTTGCTACGCTGCTCCCGGACTGGCTCATCTCCTCCCCGTGTTTGAGCAACTCTTCTTGAGATTTTGTCTTCCCACGGTGGCCTCGGCTTTTTCTAGTCCGAAACCAAGCTCCACCCGCTGCCTCCCAGCCCAGATTGAACCCACTGAGTGTCTGCATATGCCGCCGCCTCCTCCCTCCCCCACACCCCACCATCTCCCGAGGGTCTGTGTTTGGCAGGGACTTGAGCATTTCCTGAGGCAACTCATCCCCTGCTCTGGATGGCCGGCCCCTTCCGCTGTTCACTGCAGGGGTGGGGAACAGTTTTATGCCAAGGGCCGTTTGGCTATTCATAACATCATTTGTGGGCCAGACTGGCCACACATTGAATTAGCTCAGCCCGAGTGTGGGCTGCTGTTGATGACGTCTGCCCCTGCGTGAGTGGTCTGCTGCTCCCGTTCTGGGAAGGGAACCTTCATTCTCAGGTCTCCTGTGCCCACACTCTTGGACCTGGCGCCCTCAGTAGATGAGAAGCTGGGCGGGTGTGGAGTGAGTGGGTGAGAATGGGTTGGCTGGGTGGAGGGGAAGCTTTTGAGCAGGGTCGGGACTTAGCCTTTGTGGAGCTGGCTTGGGAGACTGCAGGAGATCCCAGACCATCCAGGAGCCCTGCAGTCCAGAACATTAAGTAAGCTAAGGCAGCTGTAGTCCCCAAGACGCCCGTGGAGGACAGGTCAGTTAGGTGGTGAAGCAAATGAAGGGCGGTGGGGCAGAGCCTGGGCTCTAGGCCAGTGGTCTCCGCCTGTTTCAAGAACCCACATTTGAGCAAGTGCTTCAGAAGCCACCTCCCCTCCCTCAGCTCTTGCCAGGATGCCTACATCTTATCACGGTACATAGAGAAGTCCAGTAGGGATGTCTTGAATAGGAAGGTGACAAAAAAATTTAAAAGGCGGGGTTTAGAAGATGGGAAAGGTCAGTTTAGGTGAGTGAGAGGCACTGAGGGAGGTCTCGGTAGAACTTTCTACGGGCCTCGCAGGACGAGAGTGTGTGCGGGGGTCGCCTGGGCTGGGAGACGTGCGTCCTAAGGGCCCACTCTCAAACGTTGCAAACAGCAACTACTGTCTCCCTGGGCTGCAATAGCGTTGGCCCTAGAGACCTGCAATGGGTCCTTGACCAGGCCCAGGCTGTTCCCGCAAAGGGGTGCGTTTGCACCCACATACCGCTTCCAGTCTGTTCACTGCTGTGTAATCAGTGTCCAGCATCCTCAGTGAGGATCGATTGGAAAGGCGGGTGACTAGTGGCTACCTTCGCTGGTCACTTTCCTGGTGACCTTCTCAGAACCCATACTCTGAGGCAGGCCTTGGGGAGAAGGGGCAGCGGTCTCAGTCTACTGCTGCTGGAGAAGGACCAGTGTGCTTACATGTGGCGGGAAGGGGGCTGTTTGCCCTGGGCAAGGACAAGCCCACTGGTGCCCGGGCCAGGGCTCTGGCCTTCTCACGGTCGGTGGTCCCGTTTCACAGACGCCCCTGAGAGCTCAGGCAGCCTGGGCATGTCCACGTGCCCAGGCCCCCAGACTGATTGACCACCAGAGGCCAGCCTTCAGCCCTCTCGCTGGGGTCCATTCCCCCTGTGAACACTGGACATTGCGGATCTTTCAGATCCTCCTTCTCATGGCTCTTCTTTCTCTCTTGGCCCCCTCCCCTTCTCTAGCCACCATTCCACTTGTCCCCTGGACCCCGTCAGCTCTGGGGGAGAGCGCTTCTATACCAACTGCCTCCGATTTCTCTGGAATCTGCTTGGGTCAGACGTTGTCCTTGCCCCCATGCTGAAATTGCTGTGGCCGGTGTGCAGTCCCTGCCCCGCTGGATCTGGCAGTTGGGGTGGACCTCCCCAGGGACACACTGCCTTTGGCCACCTTGCTGGGTGATTATTCTCCTGCCCTAATGGCCCCTACCTTCCCTGCTCTCCTCAGTCACGATCACAGTCACTGGTGACCCCGCTAGTTGGAAGGATCTGGCTTCCCCAGTTTGCAGTGTGAACTCCTTTGGGTTGAGCCAGGATGGGAGCTTGTCCCTTTTACTGTCTCATCCCCGCCCCCCAGCAAACGTGTTTGGCCCCAATGGGTGCTGCTTAAGGGCAGGCTAAGCATCGCACTGCAGCTATACCTTGGGAGGAAGATGAGGTGATCTCCTGAAAGACCCAAGTACACAGCCCAGAAACCCTGCAGAGCCCTTCTGCTCTGTCCTGCAGGGTCGGCATGAGTCAGTGGGTTCTGACTGGGTTCACGGAGCTGCATGAAGGCGTGGGTGAGTCCCTTGCCCGCTGTGGGCCAGGTCCATCCTCCTTCCCAGGTGGGCGCATCCTGAGTCATAGTTCCAGTGCCTTGGGTGTGTTTCCCACCCTCGGGGATAGCCCTCAGTGTCGGAAGTGGAATCACCGGGGCATGGGCGGAGGGAGCACAGTACTGGGCGTTGTCTTCCGTGGGAGACCCTGTGAGCCCGACATCCTGGGTGTGGTGGCCCTGACTCTGCTCTCTCCCCCACCCCTGCCCAGCTCCCCCTCCGGGGCTCCGCGGGACACTGGACCTCCAGGTTATTCGAGTGCGGATGGAGCAGCCTATTCAAATGCGGATGGAACAGCCACCAGCCACTGCTGTCAGCTTCCTGCGGGACTGGCCTGCAGTCCTAGCAGAATCTAGCACCCTGGAACACGGGGAGCCCAAGGCCAAGGGTGGGGTGTAGGTGCTGCTGTGCTGGGAGAGAGAGAGACGGTGGCATCCTCTTTGGATTCAAACTTGGAGCTGCCCTGCTTGACTGCCTGGTGCAGAGCGAAAGGTGCCTGGGCAGGGGTTGCTGGTGCAGCCAGAGCTGGGCGTTGGGTGTGTTGAGCACACCCACACAATCCTTTTGTGTACCCAGACCTCCCTCTGTCCCAGTCACACCCTCTGCCCCTGTAGACCCCC